TATGTATGTATGTGTGTGTATGGAGAACCACTGTGTCCAGAGTCCCTCTTGGCGTATTTGAGCTACAGTGGACCCTCTACTTAAGGAATTAATCCGTATTGGAATGGTGGCTGCAAGTCGAAAAGTCTGTAAGTCGAATCTCCATTGACCTACAATGCACTGAAAACCGATTAATCCCATAACCAGTGGTTTTTATTCTATTTTTATTCCATTTTGGTTTTTTTTTCTGGTCTGTAAGTCGATTCTCTGGCTGCAAGTCGAATCTAAATTTTGCAGCCAGAGAAGTTTGTAACTTGAAAAGTCTGTAAGTCGAGCCATCTGTAAGTCGAGGGTCCACTGTAGTTCCACTGCTCCCTGCAGTAGTGCTGTGTTTTTACTAGCCACTTCAAAGGTATATTTCAAATGCATCCTGTCAGAAGAATATGACTTGTAACAGAAGAGTTTGTGCTGTTCTTTCCGGAAAGGCCCATGAGGTGTTATGTTTGGAAATGCTCACATTGCTTCTGGAGAGACCAACGGATGACAGCATTGAAGTAGCCATTGGGTTTCTGAAGGACTGTGGTCTCAAGTTGACTGAAGTGTCTCCTAGAGGTGTTAATGGTATGTATCTATTGGAGAGAGATTTACAGTATTTTCTAACACCTGTGGTTTTGGTAAAATAACTTTTACTTTGGTTTCATTTTTGAATTGCAGCCATTTTTGACCGGCTTCGTCATGTTCTGCACGAATCGGAAACTGACAAACGAGTTCAGTACATGATAGAAGTTATGTTTGCTGTGCGTAAAGATGGGTTCAAAGATCACCCAATAATTCCAGATGGACTGGATCTTGTGGAGGAGGAGGATCAATTCACCCATATGCTGCCTTTAGAAGATGAATATAATCCAGATGATATTCTTAGTAAGGATGATGTTGAAAAGAATTTTTCATTCCATGTTATTTCTTTCCTGCTCTCCTACAATGTTGGTAACTTTCTGTTCTCTTTTTGTGAAGATGTGTTCAAGATGGATCCTGATTTTGTGGAGAATGAAGAGAAGTACAAAACGCTGAAAAAAGGTGTGTAAGTAATTTCTATTTCAGTTTTGCACAGTAGTTCTAAGGAAACCCACAGTAACTCTGTAACCATTTTGTGCCAGATATTTTAGATATTTATACTCAAAAGCAGGTGACTTGACTATTTCTTTGGTTTACAAAAGTAATGCAGAAAACGAAAGGATTTTTGTTTGGGTCAAAATATAGGGAAAATATTTTGCTGGTCAAGCATTTCTTAATTGTTCTGCACTTTAAAAAATCATCCTGTTTCTGTCAGGACTAAGCCCTCACTTTCATGCATCTCAGTCTGATATCCTGTGCTTTTATGGGTAGTACAATCCTGCACATACATGCTGAACAGTAATCACCTCTTAAGTTCAGTGGGTGTTGCTTTCAAATAAACAATGATAGGATTTGAGCCTAAGACTGCAGCCATTCTTGTTTCAGTTCCAAAGCATTCACCTGCTCGATTTGGAGGAAGATAATTCTAAATGTCTCGCCTCTCCCAATGAAATGGGGCCTTAATGGTTTCCTTGAATTCTCTTCTTATTGTAGAAATTCTTGACGAAGGTGATAGTGACTCAGGATCTGGTGAAGATGTTGGAAGCAGTGAAGAAGAGGATGAAGACGAGGAGGCTAATGATGAGGATGAGAATGAAGAAGGTAAGAGGGCAGTTTAAAGAAGCAGTTGTAGGAACTAATGGAACTGTGGCATTGAAGTGTTACTGGACAGCAAAGTGACTTGTTTTAAATTCTATTGTTTCTTATTTTAGATATGATATAATTAATTAATGTATGCTACTACATCAGGCTGGAGTTAGTATTTATGGGCTTGTTTGAAGGCTGAATGAAACATATTAATAATATATATATTTCACTGCCCTCTTCATCCTGAACAGGGGGCATTTCATGCATTCTCCATGGGTAAACTTCATCAAATGACTCATGATTGCCTTGAGTCAAAACACTACTCCAAGGGGTACCCAATGAGATTTTTTAAATTTGCAGGGTGGATTTGATTTAAATCAAATTCATTTAAATTTTAAAAATTGATTTTTGATTATTATTGAATCCTTGGTTTTTTATCCACCCTTAAAATTTGGCTGTAAGGCTTCTGTGCCATGTCACAATCTGCTTTTGAAAACTCTAAAGTTCAAAACTGTTCTGCCATTTGATTTGAGGTTCTGATGTTCAAGAAACATAAGCCTAATGATTTCTTGGACATTTAAGAATTACTTCTATGTTGTCTGTTTAAGAAAAAAAATCCAGCTTTCCATTTTCTTCAACTTCCATAGTAATTTCCTCCCATATACCAACCTGTTTGTGTCATTCCTTTATTACGATCAACAGATTAGATAAAAATTAGTAACATAATTTCATAATAATGGGAATTGTTAAATACAAATTAAATATACACTGTGTATGATTTGTGTCATTGTTTCTGATTTTTATGATGGGAATCATTTAGCTCATATGCTGCATACTAAGAGTATACAGTAGAACCTCAGTTTACGAATTTAATGCGTTCTGCAGGACATTATGTAATGCGAAAAATTCATAAACCGAAACACGGTTTGCTATAGTGCAGGGGTGGCGCTATAAATCTCTAGGCACAATGCATCCTGGGGAAACTTCCTTCGTACTGTGGACAAAAAACGTAAACTGAGGCATTGTTTTCTATGGATTTTCATTCGTAAACCGAAAATTATGTTAACCGAGGCGTTTGTAAACCAAGGTACAGTGGTGCCTCGCTTAGCGATCGCTCTGTTGAGTGACGAAATCGCTTAGCGACGGGGCTTAAGTGATCGCAAAAGCAATCGCTTAGCAATGGTCCCTATGGGGATAATTCGCTTTGCGATGATCGCGGGGAAGCGATCATCGCAAAGCCCACATTTTCGGCCAGCTGATTGGTGGTTTCAAAATGGCCGCCGGAATAACAAAATGGCCGCCTGCTGTGTTGCCTCGCTTTAGAGGCACCGAAAATAGCCGCCCCTATGGAGGATTTTCGTTTAAGGTTAGTTTTGAAGCCCATAGGAAAGCATTAATGGCGTTTTAATGCGTTTCTATGGGCTTTTAAAATCCGTTTAGCGATGAAATCGCTTAGCAATGTTTTTTCCTGCACGGATTAACGTCGCTAAGCGAGGCACCACTGTACTACTGTAATTGTAATAGCCATTTTCACAAAATACTGTGCTATACTGTATTTTACTTATTTTTTATGCTGTGGCTGAAACCTGTTGCTTACCTTAGTACATTGCACTAGAGTAGGCCCATTAAATCAGTGAGGATTTGGTGAGTCATATTCTCTGTAAGTTCATTGAGTGAAATGGGCCTACTATAGTTGTAACTTGCTAGGCTAAACAGCAGGATTTCAGCTTTTGTTGTATGAGCACAATCCTGCCCACATCGATTGTTTTTTAGGTGTGTTGGATTCGCTGGAAGAGTTAAAGCTGTGTTTAAATTATTTCTCTTGCAATCTAGATATAAAAAGTGAAGCTTAGCTGGATGGTATCTGTTATGAAAACCACTGTCTTTTCTGCACATGCATGAACAAGAGGCATATTTCATTGAGGCTGCACTGACATCAAGGACATTTGCATTCTATAAATATAAACTTTATTTTTCTATAGTAAATGTTCTTTATGACTTTCGGAGTATGTTTGATACAAAAAAAGCAGCAAAGCATGTCTTGTCAGTCAGCAATCAGTAAAAGTAGGTTTTGTTTTTAACTGGTTGCATTGTGGATATAGATCCTGAATATTGGCAAGGTCCTGTTCTTTTAAGAGTACTCTTGGGAAAGGAAAATAAACTTCTGATTCCAAGCAGAAAATAGAAATTAAAATTGGTAATTACAGAACCCTGTCATCACTTGCATTACTCATATGGAAACTCTGGAGGCCACTCCCCCAGAAAGTAGGACAATTGACTTTTTCAGAGTCTTGGTTCTAAACGTGATATGATGTTCTGCCTCTATGTCTGATCCCTGAGATTTGTTGGTAGGGGAAGATGCATGTGCAGATGCCCCACACATACAGACACCAGAGGTATACTCATTATATTCAATGTAGAACCGGAATTGCATGCATAGATCTTGGCTGCCCTTTGATGAATGGAGCAATCTCTGTGCCCAAGAAGATGCTTCTGCCTGAAAGGTTGGAAGCTTAGGGCCCATTCTTATTTGCAACAGGCAAGCAGTGGGGTCTTATGGAGGCTGATTTCCTTCTCCTTTATCATGTACAGCTATGTAGTCATATGTGTCAACAGCTGGTTCCTTGACATTTTTGTCAGTGTTTCTTCTATGAACACAACTCCAAGGCTGGTTATGCAACAAAGTTTCTCTCCATGGAAGAGAATGCATTAGTTTTGCTGATGCCAGTGAAGGAGCAGCAGGTCATCATGCTACAAGGTTTACATTCTTTTTAGTATTTTGATTTGAGATTATATGAAGGGGGTGCTGACCGGTATTGAGCCTTACCCAGAAAAAATTGAGCTAGGAAGCTGTAACTTTCACACTGTTCTACATATTCCCCCAGGAAGTCAATGCCCTTGCAACATCTGTCCTGCAGCTTCTTAAGTCCCTGCAAATAAAATTCTTCCGACTGCTGGTGTAACCACTCATTTGCAGCATTATTTGCCTCCAGAACACTCCCAAATTGTCCCTTTAGGTGTTTTTTTTTTAGTTTGGGGAACAGATGATAGTCAGAAGAAGCCAGGTTGGGAGAATAGGGTAGATGGGGCATCACTTGAAAGCTTGAAGGAGGTCAGTTTTGCGATTGTTTCACCTTCAGTGTGTGACGAGGCGTTGTCATGCAACAGGATGACACCTTCGGAGAGCTTTCCTCCATGTTTATCCTTGCTGCTTTTCCTCAATTTTGTCAATAAAGCACAGTAATATTTTGCATTAATAGTTGAACCTGTTGGAGGTAGTCCACCAGCAGAACTCCCTTCTTATCCCAAAAAACTGTTGCCATTTGCTTCTGCACCGACCTTTGCACTCAAAACCCCACTCTTTGGCCTGGGGGAACCATTGTGCCTCCATTCCTTAGACTGTTCCTTTGTCTCAGGATCATAACAGTAGATCCAGGTCTCATCACCATTTACCAGTTTGCCCAGGAAATCTGACTGATTTCTTGCAAAATGTTCCAAAGCAGCTATCAATGACTCCACAAGTTTCATCTTTTGTTTGGTTGTCAAAGTTTGGGGACCCACTTTGCTGCCAGCTTTCTCATTTCCACGTTGTTGCAGATAATGGCACCAACTCTTTCACATATTCCTAGATATGTAGCAATACTTTTGGCTGATATTCGGTGGCCCTCCATGATCAAGTCATGGATGGCTTTCACATTTGCAGGCACAGAGACAGAAACAGGCCTTCCACTGGGTTTCTCACTTTCAACACTGAAATGGCCAGTTTTAAAAATTGACAACCGAACATTTAACTGTTACAGATGAAGGGTCACTGTCATCCATAGTTTGTGACATTTCATCATGGATCTGCTTTGCACCTTTCCCTTGGAAAAACAGGAATTTGTTTATGGTCCTATGCTCTTCCACATTGAACATTTCTGGAGGTTCTGCCATGTTCACTTTGGGCCTGAAAATGAAAGAGAAGTTAAAATCATAGGTACAGTGGTGCCTCGCAAGATGATGTTAATTCGTTCTGCGAAAATCGCTGTCTTGCGAAAACATCGTCTTCCGAAACAAAGAAGTCCATTGAAATGCATTGAAACTGGTTCAGTGCGTTCCAATGGGCTGAAAACTCACCGTCCAGCAAAGATCCTCCATGGGGTGGCCATTTTCGGTGCCTGTAGAGCAGGGAATCCGTCCTGAAAACACGGCGGGGAGCCATTTTGCACAGCGTGCGGCCATTTTAGAACCACCGACCAGCTGTTTCAGAATCATCGTTTAGCGAAAAATTGGTTCCCGAAGCAGGGAACTGATCATTGTGAAGCGAATTTTTCCCATAGGAACATCCTTTTGCGATCGCAAACGCGATTGCAAAAACTTCATCGTCAAGCAGTTTCGTCATTTAACGAGGCAATTGTTAAGCGAGGCACCACTGTAGTTGATTTTTGCACCATTGAATACAGACAAATTGGCCAATTCACCTTGCAATTTACAGCTTCCTAGCTTTTTTTTTTTTTCTGGGTCAGGCTCAATACTTGTCAGCACCCCCTCGTATAAATATTGACTTGTATCCAGCGATGGCTGTGTGCTACCAGAAAGCATTTGTGTGCATGCAAAAAGTGTATCTGTTTTTCACCTATTCCTCTTATGAAATGCTGCCTTCTGCACCATGTTCACACACCTTTCAGGAGCAGATCGGCAGAGAGCATAAGAGCAATCTTCAGTCTGTAGAGGAAGTTCAGCCAGACTCTGGAGTCTCCCTTTTTCCCAGCAAAGCCATGACTAGATGCATAGTATTCTATTGTTTATTTTATGTGCAATTTATTTGCAAGCTCTTAAATAGTAATATTTGTAAGGCCTTGAAATATAATCTCTTATTTCTGAATGTTCTTCCCCACGTTTTTGCTCCCCCAGGACAAAAGGTGACCATCCATGATAAAACAGAAGTTAACTTGGTTTCCTTCCGGCGAACCATCTACCTTGCAATTCAGTCAAGGTATCGTTCTCAGTTCTGCATGGGGTCCCCCTAAACTAACACTGCAAATGCTTTTTAGGCTAGCACTTCCAATGTGGGCAGACTGAATTTTGATTCTAGAATTCTTAGATCTGAAAATTTAGGAGTAGAATGTGTCCCATGCCTTTAGGAATGGTGTTAAAAATTATAAATCTCTGGGGCAGGGGTGGGGGAGGCTTTGATCCTTCAAATATTTTGAACTACAACCCACAATTCTTTTAGAAGAGGTAGCGATGTTAGCCTGTGCTAGCATGTGAGGCAAAAACAAAACAAAAAAGACAAAAATGTGGCACCTTAAAAACTAACTGCTCTATTTTAATGTGAGCGCTTGGGGACATATCCACTCCCTCAGTCTGATTTTTTTTAAATTTTGTTTTTGCCATAATTCTTTATCACTGGCGCAGGGCACCCTAGCTGAAGTCTGAAGCCTCTAGATGGCCAAAGCTTCTCCTACCTCCGCTTTAGATTGGAGGGGGAGGGAATGTAAAATTTAAAAAATGACACAGGTAACACTATCTGTAAGAGGGAGGGATGAGATACACAGGAGAGATGTAAGAGTTTTGAATGAGTTAAAAAACTTTGTTAATTAACAGGATATGTCACATAGGAATATTTTTCCATGGGAGGACATGCTGAAGCATTTCAGATGTCCATTATGTTGTCATCTGTTTGGTTATTAGACTCAGTACATTTCTGTTTAGCATGATGTTGTAGCAATGATGACTCAACATAGGAGTCATCTTGTTTTTAGTCTGTCTGAAAATCTATTGGTGTTGGACATTGTTCATGTAATGAATGCGAGCTGGCTACAACAGAATTGTTTTTCAACAAATGTTGTTAAAAGCCTGCTAAATTCGCTATGCTTTTTAATATTAAATGTGAGAGAAGGAGAAATGCTGTGGTAGAGATTTTCAGTTAACTGCAGTGGCAGTACTGAGTTGTGCATATTATCTTTTTAAACAAACTGCCTGCAGTTGTACCCATGATAGCTTGCTTACTCCAAAGAGTCTAGAGTCTGTAAAGTAGCAACCGTCTTCTAGGCTTAGGTCAAATAAATGGAAATCTGAGGCAGGGGACTGTGGTGTGGAGCTTCTCATACTCTTCAAAGGGCTTTTTTACATTTAAAACTTGGGGGTAGTTAACATAATTCCCCTGTGTGTCTCAGAGCAGCTGTCAATTTGAGGTGCTTTTCTTTTTAAAGGAAGTGTCTTTTAGACCCACAGAATTTCATCAATCCAATGCATGTCAGTACAGAAGTGTTTTAAGCTGGTACCATAGCAGGTTCATTCTAAATACATTCCTTTTTCCCTCTTTCCAGTTTAGACTTTGAAGAATGTGCTCACAAGTTGCTGAAGATGGATTTTCCAGAGAGCCAAACGGTAATTCTCCCTTGGCTTGCTTTTCTTTTCTTGGGAGAAACCTCTCCAACACCCCAGTTCATATATTGACACAGTTAATCATATTACATAAGATACTGGCCAAATCAGCTATCTTGCAAGTCAGCTACCTTGAAATTAAAATGGTATGTTTTCCGGAATAATCCTATTTTTGGCTCATGGAGTAAGCGAAACAGTAGTTAATGTTGTTGATTTTTGCTTCTTACCCATAAAATGCCCTTAAAATAGAATGCTTAAAGATGACGCGGCATTGTTCTGGTTGTGAAAATGTTTGCTTTGCTGGAATGCCTTTGTGTAACAGATGAAAAGTACTGAGGCTGAAAATTTTTAGTTCTGAGAACAAAAGAGAACTTTCCTCAGAGCTGCATTTTGTATGTTACTTTGCTGACACCACTTGACAGTGTCACAGTATTCCACTCACCTGCAAGAAGTCAGGATGAACTCCAAAGCTGTTTTACAGCTTCCCATGGAACATACACATACTTTATCTCTCTCTCTCTCTCTCCTCCTCCTCTTAGGCCAAAGGAGGCATGCTTATATGTGAGCCAGCACCCCTCAAAGGCCAAAGGAGGTATGCTTATATGTGAGCCAGCACCCCTCAATAGCCATGGGGTCTGTCTTTGTGCATGTATTGGAGAATACTTGTTCAGGACTTTCTTGGCCTTCTGCCCATTATGAATCAATGGCTGAGATCCAGTAGAAAGTCACAACTAGAGTAGGCCCATTGAATTATTGGGGATCTGGTAAGTTAACTTCTCCATAAGTTCCATCAATTCAATGGCTCCACTCTAGTTACGACTTACTAATGAATTTCAGCCAGTGGCTCACAATTTAGTGCTCAAGTAACCAGCCTCAGAACTATATGCTTCTTCAGCTTACCTCTAGAGCAGCTGGGTGGAGGAGAGTGAAAGCATCTCCTTCCTGTTCCTCACTGATCATGGTTTTCATTGTGTCCAAAAAGGACAAACTGTGACTGATTTAAATTGTTCTTTATAGAAACAAGCCAGAATAAAACTGGTCCTCATTCATAGAATCATGCTTCAGCGTTATCTCTACAGTCTGAGATGGCACAATGATGTGAAATCTCTACCAAGGCATCCTTTCCTCCTTCCATTTCTCTCATTTCCACTTTTATCACTCATTTGTATAAGCCCCCCTCCCTCCAAAGTAGTTACTGGCTGGATATCTACTATAGTGGGCATCTCCTCTCTTTGTGGATGGATAAGTGTGAACAGTGGGCACAGCTTTCCCAGCTCTGTGTTATATTTTCTGAGATAAAGGCGGCAGACTTGTAGTGCCTGCATGTATGTAGCTATTGTAGTACCAAGATGGGAGAGTGGTGGGGGAGCCTCACAGACTGCATTTCCTTTTTCCTATGTTCCCCCCCCCCTTGATCAATGCAGAGGACTATGGAGTGTGAGCTCTCCAGTGGTGGCTGAACTACAGTTCCCATCATCCCTCACCATTGGCTGTGCTGGATAAAACCAAAGGGCATTGTAGTCTAGCAACACTTGTGAGGTCCCATGTTCTGCAGCCCTGTGTAAAGACCAGCAACCATTGCCCAGCCAAAGCTGTGGAAGTGTTAGATGTTAAAATAACCGTCTGGACTGAGTAATATTAGATAACCACATCTTGAACACACTTCTAAGATTATTTGTATGGTATGAACTCTTCTCTGTGTGCTAAATCTATATTACTAATAGTGAAAGTGCATCTGTGTTCAGTTAGCCATTAAGCATGCAGATGATTGTCACTTGCCATGCTTATAGAGCCCAAACATTTAGAAAGTTTAAGCTGTTTTTCAATAATGTTCCCAGAGCCCAAACATTTAGCAAGTTTAAGCTGTTTTTCAATAATGTTCCCACTCTTTTTTTAGTCATCCATTTGTATTTCTAGTTTCAAGTTTTTAGTGCTTCATTCCTTTGTGTTCTGTTTGAGAGGAGCGTGAGGATACAGGAGACCTGTGGGTTCTCCTTCTCTGGAATGCAAGAGCTTTGCTGTATGATTTAGTTTTTGTCCTCACAGTGATTCCAGCAACTAGTGAAAATACTGAGGCAGAAGGGATTAGTTGCATTTATTTTAAAGGTATGGGGAATATGATAATTCTCTCTCTTTTAGAAGTCAGTTCCGCACTAGTGGGTAGCACGCAACTCATCTGTGGATGTGAGTCATCCTAATACTCCGAGTCTTGTGGGCAGCTCTCAAGTCCTTGTATGCCAGACCTGCATCTCTTTTAATTTAGGCAATCTTGATAATGGTACTTAAATAATTCAAAGCTTTTTTGTGGGCAGAAATGGGGCCACCTATAGTATAATGTGAAATATAATGTAACGTGGTGCTGCTTAACCTTTATGTTTCTGAATGTCACTGCCAAAAAACTTGGATCCAGACTTTGTTCTCATCAGTGGGAGAGAAACAAGCAATGTGTGTTGATACCTTCTGCAACCCTTTGAATCTGGTAAACTGTTCAGGAAACCTGGCTAGAGCAGGGTAGGAGACTGACTGCGAGCAGGATCTCTCCATTGGATCAGAATTGTTCCATGGGCAGCAGAGCTCCTCTGATTGTGGAAGGCAAAGTTGGAATCCAACCTGAAATATTTTCAAATACAGTGGTGCCCCACTAGACGCTTACCCCGGTAGACAACGAAATCGCTTCACGCTAAGTATTTTGCGATTGCTATGGCTATCGCAAAACGGTGTTTAGATGGGGAAAATTCACGATAAGTATTTTGCGATTGCTATAGCAAAACGGTGTTTAGATGGGGAAAATCTGCTTGACGACGATTGGTTCCCTGCTTCAGGAACCGATTATTCTCTTTACGACGATCAAAACAGCTGATCGTCAGGTTTCAAAATGTCCGCCCGCTGTGGCTCCCCGCTGTGTTTCCTCGCTTTACAGGCACCGGAAAATGGCCGCCCTATGGAGGATCTTCACTTTACTATGAGGTATTTCGGCCATTGGAACACATTGAACAGTTTTCAGTGCATTTCAGTGGGCTTTTTACTTTCGCTTGATGATGATTTCGTTCTACAGCGATTTTGCTGGAACGGATTATCGTCGTCAAGCAGGGCACCACTGTAGTCCCATTGTATGGCTACTATTGAGCCTAAGGTCGGTTCTTTACTGAATTGCTAGAATTATGGATCTCATTTGCAGTTGGAAGGAAGTAGCTGACAATTCAGTTCAGTTCTGCTCTGATTGGTCAAAAGTAGAAATTAAGTTATGAACAAAGGAAGATGCAATTAAGTAAACAGAATATTATAAGGGAAATGGCCAGTAGAAGTAAGCAAATGAGAGTCCCAGAGGCAGTAAATTAGCAGTGCCTGCACACTTGACCAAGTAGCCAGATGCTGTTTGGCATTGCCTGCTCTTAATCTGAGGATCATCCTCGATGCTTAGCAAGAATGAAGAGTGACCTGATGGTATAAAATACTTCAGGGAGCAACTTACTCAGTAAAGAAAACCAGGTGGTTGCAGCTTCAGTTAAAAAAAAACCGAGTGGAGAAAATTTAGAAATAGTGTGTAACTGCAGTTGCAAAACATCCTGTACTTTCAGTTCTTGCTTCGAGTCTTGTAACTTAGCAGTGTTTGTGTCAAATGTGTTAAGTCAATTTTGTTGACCTCTGACTTAATGGCGACTCTATGAACAAGTGATTTCCAAAACGTGCTGTCCTCAACAGCCCTGCTCAGCTCTTGTACAGCTTCCTTCAAGCCATCTCATACTTGGTCTCTTACTTCCTGCTGCCTTCAAGCTTTTCCATCAATATTGTCTTTTCTAGAGAACCTTGTCTTCTCATGATGTGCCCAGAATAGGACATCCTCAGTTTCATCATTTTTGCCTCTAGGGATAATTTTGATGTGATTTGATTTAGGACCCACTTGTTTGTCTTTTTGGCAGTTTTTGCTATACACAAAGCTCTCCTCTAGCACCATATTTCAAACACACCATTTTTTTTACTTTCAGCCTTCTTCACTGTCCAGCTTTCACATCCGTACAATTTCATTGTTAGATATTCCATTTCATTTTGTTCCAACCTATATCCCACTAGAAGGACTCGAGGCAGCTTGTTGTTGTCATGTGCCATCAAGCTACCTTGGACTTGGGGTGATCCCATGAATGAGTGACTTCCAGAATGTCGTATCATCAACAGCCCTGCTTGGCTCTTGCATGGTTACTTGTTATGCAGCTTTATGAATGGCTGAAAAACCTAACAGGAAAAAATAATAATTTACAAGATTAAAATATGTCAGTAGTAACAAGCCACTTATTCGAAACAGTTTAAAACCAATTAAAACAACCTCATTGAAAAGTAAAGTGTACTGCCCACTATAATCCTTTTTTTACCAGGCCGTCCAGTTACCAAAATTGTGTTGGGAAAAAAAATGCCTGCTGATTGAGGGGCCAGAGGAATGGAGCTTATCTAGTCATGTATGGGAGACGCTTCCATAGTCTGGGCACAGCGACTGGAATGCCCTCTCTTGGGTCTGCACAGGACATGGCTGATGGCAGCGGAACAGAAAAGGAACCTCCCGTGAAGATCTCAAATGCTTAGGATTTTATGGGGAAATAGGGTTTTTCAAATAGCCTGGGTGGAAGCTGTAGAGGGCTTTACCTATAGGTTACTTTGACTTGGGGCTTACAGTGGACCAGTAACTAGTGAAGCCAATGTAAGAAGAGTTATGTGATTCCTGTAATCAACCCTGATCAAGCAGTCTGGCTGCAGTATTTTGTACCCACTGAAATTTCCAAACAGTCTTCAAAAGGAGCTTCATGCAGAGAACTTTACAATCCATTCAGGATGTGACTGAACCTTAATCATTTGTGATGCCTGTGAGTTTTATCACCACAGCCAAGACTCCCCCAATACAGATTGACTTCCTGTTCCACAGTCTTCCTTTTGTTAGACCATGAGCATCTATCTCCCCACAGAGTCCTCCAGAGAATTAATTGTAGGCAAGGGCGAGCTTGCTTTAGTATGAATTAGTATTAATAGTTATTGACAAAAACTGCAAGTTGTAATGTAATCAAGATACAGTATGTGATGCCAGCTATGGTTTAAGAGGAATCACAATTACTGTTAACATAGTTAAGGTTGTTGGGTGCGAACAAGCCGGGGAGAGGCTAGAAGAGAGAACAGGTGGTGCTGTGGCCCACCCACTATCTTTAAAACTAAGGAGAATTGGGAGCCTTCTGCCCAATGATATCCTGAATCTGGGAGTAAAGGAAAAAAATTAGCAAAGACCTTTCCACTGACATGCTCGCCAGCGACATCAGTGTCTAACCCAGTGAATAAAGCTCTCAGTTATAGGAGAAGGCACACACTTAACATGGTTTTGTCGCTTCTCTTGTCAAATAGCTCATCTGTATATTGTGGGTCGGGTGGGGTGGGATGTACCCTAAAGCAGCGGTCCCCAACCTTTTCGAAACCGTGGACCATTTGGGGGAGCGGGGCAGGGGGCACGCTCACGCACATGCATGAAAGGGCAGGGCGTGGCACACTCACAAGCATGCGCTAAAGGGCAGGGTGCGCTCACCCCAGAACAACATGCAACATGCCATTATTTTGTTCTGTGACTTTGCAACATAAAGCTTACACATGGCTAACAAACATTGAAGTATTTGTTTATTCCTTGCATGTATATGAGCTCAATGACACCACGCTCGCTTTGTGCTCGCTTTGGGGTGCCCCGCCACCCTGCACATGGAGCTTGCTCCTCCTACCCAGTCCATAGCCCCAAAAAGTTGGGGACCACTGTTTTACATGATTCAAAACACGTCCAAAGTCAGCAAGTGAGTTTAATGGCTCAGCAGGGCGTAAAACCTTAATCTCCCAAATCTTGGTACCAGTAGACTATGCATCATGAATATGTTCAGCTGTTTGTGCTGGTTCAAGAGTTTCCTTTACCATAGCATTTTTATTTTTAATGCATTCTGCTCACAGACCTGCCAGTAACTTCATAAAGCCAAAATAGGATTAGGCAAAAGCATTTGGCAACTCAAGCAGAAGAGAAAGTTAATCTTTTAAAGCTGCAGTTTGCCACCACAACAGCTGTGTGGCTTCTTTCACATCATTTCTTCAAAATAATTGAAAACATTATAATATTTAATCTAGACGACTGATGCTTTGGGTCTAACCTCTGCTTGTTTGTTGTTGTTGTTTAAATAAGCTTCCAAGAGTGTCTTTCCAGGCAAATCTGTTTTTCTGTGAAAAAAGGAAAACTTGTTTACTGAAAATATTCTTTTAGGAAATTGTTGTAATATTTAATTAAAATGTTAAATATTGAATTACTTCAGTTCAGTTAAGAAGGCAAAAAGTGATTTGTTCTGCAAGTCAAGCTGACTTCATCAGCAATAGCATCAGCACTTGGCCTGTCTTGTTGTATGAAAACTGATTGACTGCAACATTACTATAATTAATAATAATGTTCCGTCAACTCAATTCTGGTTTTTTGGCAACTCCTTCCAGGGTGTTTTAGGTAGAGAATTACTGAGAAGTGATTTCCCATTCCCTTCTAGGGGCGCCCTAGGACTGTGCAACTTGCCCAAGGCCACACAGGCTGGCGCTTTCCTCAGCAAGCACAGTGCAGAATCGAACTCCCAACCTCTGGCTCCACAACCAGACACCTAAACCACTGAGCTAAAGCAGTGTAAAAATATACTGTACTTTGTGGTATATAAACTAATGCAGTATAGTAAAAAAGAAAGATATTTTCTTGTAGGTGTTCTTGGAATCATAGAGCAGTAAGGTGCCTCGAAGGCTCATTGTCATTAGTTTTGTGTAACATGCAATAATGTTAATGGTTACTTGTATTGAATCCCACATTGTGCTGAAAATAATTCTGAAAACGATTGTATAGAAGCAAAAAAAGTAAAAAAACCACTGGGTTTTATCCTTTTTTGAGTAATAGATGTTTGGTTTTAAATAACCTGTTTGAACAATTCTTTATTTTGTGGCCCTTGTGCATATTAAGTTTGTTTATTTGAGTGTATTGTATGTTTTTGCCTCTGCGCTTTAACAGGCTGTACAAACAATGCATACAGCTGTGACTTTCAGTTTTCAAAATATATTGGTACATTAAAGGAATTAATTTTACTTTAATTTTGGAATGTGTTCCATTCAGTGCACTGCTATTTTTTCAAAGCATCTTTTTTTCTGTCTTGCAGAAAGAACTGTGCAACATGATACTCGACTGTTGTGCTCAGCAGAGAACGTATGAGAAATTCTTTGGCTTACTGGCTGGGGTGAGTTGCTCTCTTCATGTGTGGCACCTGCACATGCGTCTCTCTTTCAGGATTCATTGCAAGCAGTACTTCCACCATCACATGGTGACATTGCATCTGTGGCTGAGCCACTGCAGGTGAAGTCTTCATCTTGAGGACGCAAATTTGTTTCTTGGTTTTTTAAATTTGAAAATGTTACTTTTGCCTAACACAGGTTTAACAATTTAGAATAATTATTAAATAAAATAAAAATGGATCTGATGTGTTTCATGCGGGGGAGGCATTTTCAATCCACTTCAGATCCTTGTCTGGAAATCCGCTGTGGGATTGCTAATGGATGATGCAGAACTTTGGAGATAAAGCTGTAGGGAGAAGGGAAAAAGCAACAGAACCATCAACAATTCAGTCAGAAGTGGCGCAGGGACAAAGGCATGCCTTCATTCACAGAAAGCGTACATAAAAACATGACAGTTTTTCCTTTCCTCTTTAATTATTCACATTTTAAATTCAACATACAAAATCAAACAAATTCAGCTTTGACCCCAACAAACACATGCATGAAAGGAAAGTGTTTTTGATCAGTGATAGAGACATCATTAATTTCCCCATCCATTTGCATTTCCCAGTGCTTGCTACAAAGTCCTGCCCCAGGTACTGGCAGTAGGGTGCCTGTTTTTTTGGTGGTGGTGGTGCTATACAGATGTTTGGACACAGGCCAATACTTTGAAAAGCAAGACCATTGCAGTGTTGATGCTGTTTGCCCATTTAGTCCCGGTGCTCTTGTGTATACATGTTGTAATGTCTGTTTTTCCTTAACTGTGCCCTTTGTTTCCAGCGTTTCTGTATGTTGAAAAAAGAATATATGGAATCATTTGAAGCCATTTTCAAAGAACAATATGATACTATCCACCGGTTGGAAACAAACAAGTTGAGGAATGTTGCTAAAATGTTTGCTCACCTTTTGTACACAGATTCTCTTCCTTGGAGTGTAAGTAGAAAAGGTGTCTCACCTTGCGTTGCGTATTCGGTTTCTGAAAATCAGAATATTCTTGTTGCTTGATCTATAGCAGTGGTCCCCAACCTTGGGCCTCCAGATGTTCTTGGACTTCAATTCCCAGAAATCCTGGCCAGCAGAAGTAGTGGTGAAGGCTTCTGGGAGTTGTATTTCAATAACATCTGGAGGCCCAAGGTTGAGGACTACTGATCTATAGGACACCACTTTAGTCAGTTGAAGTAGAACTTCATATCATGGGCTGAACGCCTTGTCTATTTGGCCACTGACAAGGACGATGAGAACTTTGACTCAGACAAACTTCACTTCAGAGTAAAGAAAGTTCAGCTAACGTTCTTATTTGGAACCAGGACTGCACACCAAAATGAAACTAAAAGTGTCAGTGATTTGCAAAGATAGTTGCTAAATTATCTAGTGCTTGTGTAAATTGGCCAGAGGTCAAAAAGGAAAAATAGCAGGGGTGGGGGGAGTAAATGGGATTAACTTAATTGATTTTGAGTGTTTGGCATTAACCTACCACTTCTTCCACTGGCAGGTCCTTGAATGCATAACACTAAGTGAAGAAACAACTACCTCCTCGAGTAGGATTTTTGTTAAAATATTTTTCCAAGAGCTTAGTGAATATATGGGACTTCCTAACCTTAATGCAAGGTTGAAAGACGAGTAAGTAGAAATTTCATATCATAATATCTTTCCCGTGAGGGGATTCCTATTTATTTTATAGATATCTGATAATATTTCCATTCTCATTGAAAACAGAGTTCAAATAGTGTCTTCATGTTTCTTCTTAACACAGTAATTATAGCGCTATGGGAGCTGAACATCCATGTTTCAGAAATAACCCCTAACTGAAGTATGGTTTCTTACATAAAATACTATGTTTTTTCTTTTTTTCTTGTTTTTTCCCTTTTTTGGCAATTATATGTGCAAATGGGTAAGAACAGTAGAGTTCTGCTTCTGTAACTCATAGGGAAGCAGATTTTGCTGGTTTCTTGAATTCAGCCTATCCCTCTGATAAGGTTTGAGTGGAAAATTCAAGAAAAGTATGGGAAATGGTGCAGGAGGAAGGAAAAATTAGTAAAAAATTCTGCAACCTTTCCCTCAGTAGAAGTCTCCTCTGGATTGCAGTCCCAACCATGAAAACATGGGTATTTTGACAGTCTCATGTGGTATCACCATGTTGAGGCATTCCTTGCCCTGTAGGTGTAGAAATGCTTTTCCTAAGATAATGCTTGTTGTTTTCTGTTTATGTGACTTGAGATTATTTAAAGCTAAGCATGCTTCCTAGATACTGCCCCATAGTGCTTAAAGCTCTATATGTTTACCATTTATTTATGCAGGCTATTCATTGCCCCCCACCCCCAGCAAGCTAGGTGTTCTCTTTACCAACCTTGGACGAATGGAAGGCTGAGTGAACCTTGAGCCCAGGTACCTGGGATTGAATCCTGGTCATGAGCAGAGTTTTGATTGCAGTAGTGCAGTTTAGCCTCTGAGCCACAAGACTCATATAAAACTGCTGCCTGATCCATAGGACAGCATTTTAGTCAGCTGAAATAATTTTAATTGACTGATCTAACCAGTTTTTACTGACATTTCCAAAAAGCATCAGGTTGGTATTGGATTGAGGTATCTCTTAAATATGGGGTGCTGAAGCTAATAATATCATCTTAGAGTCATTTCTTTATCACCATTTGTATTTGAGGCTCTGAACATACCTGTTCATTGGAGAATGCCCTGGACAAAATATTCCTCTGTATTTCTGTGGTGAATCATTTTGAAGTCAGGGCAACTAACAACAACAACAACAAAAAAGACCAAGAAATGTTTCCTTAAACCAAACTAACACAAGTGCACATCTAAAACAAGCCAGAAGTTAGCCCTCTCTTCCCAGACCAGACTGCTTTCCAGACTCCAAACACCAGCCTAGGAGAGAACCACAGGCCTCTGTCAACCATCATTACTTCAGTTTAGTCTAGATTTCTGGCTTGCTCATATTTACAACCAGACAGCGAATAAGCATTGACACAGCAAGACCTCACATGAACTACATCTTTAATTAAACCGTAAATGACTGATGTTTACCATTGATTGCATGTTAAATAAATACCAGAGAATGATCCTTCCACATCCTGGAAAGCATGATGGACATGACTTTGCCTACTTCATTCTTTGTTTCTCCTCACTGCCATGCCATCATCTGCCACCATAACATTTGTTCAGTTGAATGTTTTTCTTTCCTTTATATACATCTTTTCTCTAGATCATCTTTTCTCTCTATAAGGGGGCCACATGAAAAATCTGAACTGTGTTCGGGGGCCGAACCAACTTTACTTAAAAATAAAATGAAACAGTGATGTTATGATTGTTTTTATTTTAAACTTGTTAATCTTCACAAATACTAAAGAGGTTTTTTGCGGTATGTTAAAGATAAGCAATTCATCAACTTTAGACAAAAAGCTATAAATGGTTTTGATGTTCAAAACTGTCCGCGGGCCAGACAGGAGCGGCTCACAAGCCGCACTTTGCCCAGGTCTACTATAGATTCTTGTAACAACTCTTAACCCACAATTGTTCTTAAAATGCCAATGAAAAATCTCTTTTTGTACTTTTAAAAAAGCATTTCTTTCTTAAAAAGAGGTTATAAGTCATGATGCATCCAACAGTCTTCTATGGAATTGTTGCTTTGTTAATCCTAAAGAACAGTCGACAAAATAGGCAAGGAACTTTCCTGTGATGGATCATATAGAAATGTGGACATTTGTAAAACACAAGCATTTTAAATTAGATTAAATAGATTGATATCAAAGCAGTATTTCTTCTGCTTTTGAACAGTGCTGTAGTAGAACCTTGCCTAATAAGCAAGTCTCACTCACTTTCAGATGAAGTGCACATTTGTTTTATTAATGAAATGGTCTGGGAGAACCGTGGGCTGCCCAGAACTTGTGCCTTTAGATAGATCACATTATTTTTTTAGATCATCATTTAATGAGGTTACAAATAATTAAATATAGTTTATACACATGTCAGTGGCTTTCTAGAGAATTAGTTGAATCCTAGATAATATGTTTATAGTATAAAACAGCTTACAGTTTCCAGGTTCCATAAACTATATTTATTCATCATGTATTTATTGAGGAAAGTTAAAAAAAAAAATGAAATGCATGAGGGACTTCCTCTTTGTGCCATAGCAAGAATTCTTTTAAGTCATTTGCTCCTATATTTCTATACCTGTAGCTGGTTTGTATATGCATGTGCCCTATTATTGTTTCCTATGGAACTGATATTAAGTTGGAAGGAGTGTTTATGGTGTATTTGACATTTTAGCATCTCCTGTAGATCAAAGTAAGTTGTGGATGCGCAGGATTGGAAGTATAATTTTTACGTTTGCTTTTCAACAGGACTCTACAGCCATTCTTTGAAGGATTGTTACCTCGGGATAATCCAAGAAATACGAGATTTGCCATCAATTTCTTCACTTCAATTGGTCTTGGTGGGCTAACGTAAGGAAGCATGTGATTTTATAATATAGAGCGCAGTTCTTGGAATTCTGGCATAATGCCAATCAGTATAGCCATCCCCGATGGTGTTTGTATATGTATAGGTGATTTGGACAAGCATGCGCTTTCCTTCCTTGCTTCCCTTTCCCTCCTCCATTCCTAGATAGCTATCCTGAAGCGTGCCATTCCACTTCAGCCCTGGGCACTCCAGTTCTTATAATCCCAAATCATGAGGTCAGTAGCCCAGAGAATATGTTCTGGACTCCAGTGCATGTACTCTATTTGAAAATCCCTTTGTGGAGGCATGAGGATGTTGGCATGGTATGCTTTGTCGCTGCATATCACATGGATCAAATTGGAGACCAGAAGCATCCATCCCAGGCTGCAGGCTGTTATTACATCCCTCTATCCCAACAAAAATTAAATGGAGGGCTGAAGCAATGCAGATAGGGACTGATCCAGTGTCTCTCTCTCTCTCACTCACTCACTCACACATACACCATTCTGTGGCCCTTAGTGTTAGTTTTGAGGATCTCTTCCCCCAAAACCACTCCACCCTCCAAAATTGCTATGAACTTTGGAGCACAGCAGAGAGCATATAAAACATCCAAAAAAGTAATTGAATTGTTCAGATTGATTACCTGGCTTATTAAATGTGTTTAATTAGAGATGAGCTACGCGAACACCTGAAAAATGCACCCAAAATGATCATGACACAGAAACAAGATGTGGAATCTTCAGATTCGTCTTCATCTTCAGAATCCGATTCATCAGGTCCAGAGGAGGATGCTAGCAGCAGCAGTAGCAGCACTTCAGGGTCTTCTACTGGATCATCATCTGACAGTGAACACAGCAGTGACTCAGGTATGAAGTTCCACCTGTGATTCATCTTTTTGTCTTTACTGTCCCTGGTCTGAGACACTTGCATGAGGGAAAAATCGTGGTGGCAATTTATTCGTGTCTTTCTGTGTTTGAAGATGGTGTTGATATTTTGCAGTGGACCAGACTTTCCTAATAATGTTGCCAGACTAAAGACTTAATAGATGGTGCATTGTAAACCCTTTAAGGAGTATTTGTGTAGTAGTTCTCTTTAGAGACAGAATTGCCCATTAATATAGGCAAGTTCACAATTTTACCTAACACTTACCTGTGTGAGTTGAATAAGTCATATCACCTGTTTGGTGACTGGTTCCTCTTGCTTACCTCAGTATGTCCTGCTATGTTCAGATGGGCTTGTTCTCTAGTAAATGTCTCTGATATTATGTGATTTTGTCTAAATAATATATTCTTATCTTCCTGATCACTGACCGTTATATATTGTTGTTGTTTTCTGGTAAATGTGTTTTAGGATTGTAGCCTTAGCAGATTTCTTTGGAATAGATAAAGCGAGAGTACCTTGTTCTGTGATTCATGTGCATAGTCGAGAACAGCATCCTTTGGGTTGGGAGTGGAATGTAACTCTGTACCTACTCTTCAGAACTCTCTACCCATGGGCATTGCTGGTGTCTAATTTATAAGTTTTTTTATCTGCTCATTTTGTTAAGTGTAGCTCTTTTATGCTGTATTAGTGTGCTTTCTGATGCAGGAACTATCAATTGTAGTATTAATTAATGCAATTCAGTATACTGCTACTTGTATTCTGCTTCCTTCTGTTTATAAAAGATTCTGCTGCTGCAGGATGCCTTCCATGCTATAATCAGCATATTTGAATAAGTCATCCTTCTGATTTTCCCCCATTATCTGAAATGTACTGTACAGTATAAAGAACATTAGTAATCTAAATAGTGCCTGCTTAGTCCACTCTTGAACATGCAAGCACTAAGTTGTGAGAGCAGATGACAGCCCAGCTTGAGCTTCTGCATTCAAAAAGCATACTGTTTTGGGGGAAAAATTATTTGTTGATGGTTTTAAGAGCAAAAATCTTCTAATTCTCAAATATAGTACAGATTCAGAATGTTTGAAAAGAGGTCTACTGCAGTTCATTGTAAATTTGCTGTATATTCCTATTACTAAAAATTTAATACATCAGTAACGCCAGAGTACTATAGGAAAGCATAATGGAACAGGGTCAGAAAAGTGGCATTTCAGCAAAGAGCCAGATGGCTTTTGTAGAGACAGCTGCAGCTAGACGGGGACCAGGGAAGTAAGTCCTTGGTGACAAATTAATAGAGTCTGTGAGTCTGAATGTCCCTCATTTTTTTTCTCATACTGTGTTGTGTTTGCTTTCCATTGAATGCATTCCGTTCTAATATTTGGTCGCTTTCCATGTTGGTCGGGGGCAGGTGTGTGTGTGAGAAAATGATTCATTGTAGAGACATTTTGATAGTCTCAACAGTACAATGTTTTTCTTTTCTATTCTGTTTATTTATTTCTTTTGCACTGTGAGCAGAAATATTGCTCGAATGATTATGCACACCTGTACTTAATACAGCTTGGTATGAGAGAATCAGCTTCTGTCTCTTTGCAGTGTTTTGTCAAGAGACCCTTTAAAGGCTAGGTTAGAGCTTGCATTCAGACTGTACCCATTCATTTTAATGTCATTTTACAACAATGAAGGCATCACAGCTTGTCTGAGGCAGTTTCTTAGAGTTTCCCCCAAAGTGGTGCCTCGCTTAACGATGTTAATTGGTTCCCAAAAAAAACATCGCTATGGGAAAACATCGCTAAGCAAAACACCATTTCCCATAGGAATGCATTGAAAACCGGTTAATCCGTTCCAATGGGAACGGATTGCCGTCCTTAAGCGAAAATCCCCATAGGAAACATCGCTAAGCGATACAATGTTTCCCCCATTGGAATGCATTGAAACGTTTTCAATGTATTCCAATGGTTTTGCGATGTTCATTTTTGCAATTTTAAGTGTGTCTTAAAAGGTTCAAAAACGGTTTTAAATGCTTGGGATCGTTAGTGCACCGTCTAAAACCTTTGCAAACTTAATTTGGCTTTGATCTGACTTTGTTAATTTTTGGTGAATTTTTTTCTCCCCCTTTGGAAAGCATTGAACTGTCGGTTTGACGTTGTGCAGCATCTGTCGTTGGAATATGAAAGGTCAGTTTTTAGCATTGTCACTTCAATAAGAGTTGTTGCGCTGGATGTACGGTAGATTTGCGGGTTCCCTCTTACCTAGTAAGAAGAAGACAGATCTGGTCAGTGTGTTGTGCAGCATCTGTCGTAGGAATATGAAAGGTCAGTTTTTAGCATTGTGCTGCGTAGTCATCTTTTTTGTCCCAGCAGTAAATCTGCTGTTGCTGATGGCAGACTAATTTTATATACCTTGGCAGCTCATTTTTTACTTGCACATTCTTATAACGGCACTAGCAAAAAGCTGCATTCCAGGACATGTGCAAATAGTTGCAGTGTCTAAGTGGTTGTTTCTAGGGAGAAAATGGACAATATTTGCAATGATAGTTTTAATGTTGCTTTCTAACTCCTTGTATATCTTGAGGATTCCAGCTTTCATGACAATTATTTTCTAGGGAGTGGCCACATTAATTTGTGGCAGCAAAAGTAATAGCCTTGTGGCATCTTAATGATAAATTAATTTATTGTGACTAGAGGCTTTTCCAAATGATAGTCTACATGCATGAAGGGTTGTTTTCAAAAATAAATGTTCATGCATTTTTTAACATATAAACATAGTTGTCAAATATATTTTGGCATCTCTTTGATGCGCAGAACCTGGTATGCAGACTGTTAATCACTTGCAACTAGAATAGGCATATTATATAAGGTGTGGTCTTTCATGACTTGGCTCCCTCTGTTGAACAGGCTGCTTAACCTTGATGAATAGGAATCACAGTTCTATTCCATGGATGAAGTATTTTGTCTTTTCTGCAGTATTTTTGAAATAAGGAATTTTATTTGTTGCTAAATTTAGTAGAATGAAGGTGACGAGTAAGTATTTTGCAAGTTAAACGGATCTTAATTTTGTTCATTTGAAACATCTTAGTACAGTCCTCTGAAGGAAGCGATAGTGAGAATTGCTTAGTGATTTGATATCTGGCTGTGGAGCCAGAGGTTGGGAGTTCGATTCCCCCACTGTGCCCTCATCATAGGGGCTGGACTTGATTATGCATAGAGTCCCTTCCAGCTTTGAAGTCCCAAGATTATGATGATGATGAACAGTGTTACATGGATCTTTTTTTTCCTCAGCATCATTGTCCAAATCAGAGAGCAAGCTAAATAACTCTAAATTGTTTAGTTGAGATTATGAAAAGGATGTGTACCTGTCATCCTTTATTCAAGCTCCATGACCAGAAAACTACTTGAGAATATGGGAGATTGTTAAAGTAGCCAAAAGCTGGTCATTTGCCTGGTTGCAAAGATCTCACCATACATGCAGAAAGCACTTCTGTTGAGTCACTGATCTTTTTCCTTTGTTTGTGCTGTGTTCCATTTTTACCCTCAAGAGTTAGGAGAGCCTCCAAAGCAACTTATGAGGGGAGGCAACTGTTCTCTCCCTGTGTGGGATGTCTGAGTTCAAACTGATATATTTTGACATGTGGATTAAGGACAATGCATAGATTAACTTTAAAAGCTAAATGCCATGTTTTTGATCCTTTCAGATATGAAAAGGAGGAAGTCACAAAAGAAGAAGACATCAAACAGTAGTACCAAGAGGAAACAGGGAAGTAAAAAGAAAGAGCTTGAAAAGAAGAAAGAGAGGAGGGAGCCTGAGAGGGTAAATGGGGGTGATCGAAATTCTGGAAGGAATGCTGACAGAAATTCAAGAGACTCATGTCGAAGAGATGAAGCCTCACAGAAGGTCTCTTATGACAGAGATTATTCCAGTGACAGAAACAGCTACTGGAGTGGAAAGGACAGGGATCATGAAAGACAAATGCCTTTGGAAAGCAAAACTAGCCACTCTAAACAAAAAAGAGCAGAAAGAAGGAATTCTTTTTCTGATGAAGAGAGGAGGGACAGACACCATACTAATGACGGTGAACTCCATAGACGAAGAAGGAACAGATCAAAGTCAAGAGAGAGACCCCATAACTATCCCAGTCCCCGGGAGGATCAAGAACAAAGCCGATACCTGGATCAGTTGAAAGAGTCCAGGAAGGGGGAGGGCCGGCGAAAACACAGGGAGAGCTCTCCACCCAGGCGCAAATAATTCTGGTAGAGAGATTTTGTTGGTGAAAACTGTATTTTTATGACATATGGAACACTTTTTAAAAGGACCTTTTGTACAAAATGCCTACAAATACGTGGAGCCTTCAATGTTTTTAGTACCCCATCTTTTTATGATCATTGTTAATGCTTTAAGCTTTCCGCTAAGCTGAAGCTTAGAGGTCTTTGAATCCAAGAGAAATCAAATCTAGTTTATTTTGTCAATAAAAAAACCCTGAACATTTGTTTTACTGAAATGCTACTGTTTTGAAAAGATCTTTGTACATTTTATTTATACATTTTAAAAATGCTAAACATTTCCTTGCTTGCCCCTTTTTTAGGCAATTGTCAGATTTCAGTATATTTGTTAAGAGGTCTCACTTCAAGAATAACAAGTTCTTTGTATATGCCAAAATTTTAAAGATGTGCACAATGGCAATTGCATTTGGTTTGAATTGGGTTTGGGTGGGTTTTTTTGTTCTTTAGTTTCTTATAAAAATGTGGAAACAGACAACTGAAAATTCTACAATATTTTTCATAACTTTTGGTCCCCACTTGCCTGATTTTGTTGGCTGTGGCATAAGGTTGAAAGATCAACTGATCTGAGATTTGATTTCTTCGGCACTTGGAAAAACAAGCATAAACTACATAAACGGTGGTAAGAATTTGTTCATGAAAGAAATTTTGCTCTCAGCTAAAAACAGTTGTGAATAATAAACTGAGCCATGAGGTGGATAAAGCTTCTGTTTTTCTTCAGAGCTTAAAACTGTAGTGTGATGAAAATACTAGAATTCCCAGACAGAACAGTGGAAAAGCTGTTGTAAATGTTGTAAACATTTATTCTGTGATTTAACAGACTGGGGGGAAAACACAGAAAAGTAATGCATATCATTTAAAAAACATGTTAATGGATTAAAAAAGACATCTATGAAGATGGCATGTATAGCATTTTCCCCCTTTGGCTGAAATGTTTGAATCTATAATTAAGACCTTGAGATCGGTATGATATTTTAAAATCATTGTTCAAGACCCAATACCTATTCTTGGTGCTTTCTGTCTAAAGGTTAGAAGTCCCCTATTACTGTTGTTATTTTTTTAACATGACATTATTAATGGCATTTAGTTGAGTTCTTCAACTATTGTATTAAAACCAGTAGCTTGAAAAAAGACTTCAAAGTGATCAAGAACCTTGTTTTGGCAACCAGTCATATAAAGTGTTATTTCTTTATAATCTTTTTAATAATGCATTGTTTTATAGATTAACTAAGGCCTTTATTTAGCTAGAATAAGCGGATGATATTTATCTGCTAATGAAGGTAGGTGATCTACTTTGTTTAAGCAACATAGACAGTAGCTCAAAGTGAAGCAAGCTTGGAAGGAAAGGGCTTTGCCTAGATTGGTTTACTCTGGTCTGACAGGAAAGTGAATTTGTACAAAAGAAGAATGAATGAGCTTTATTAACATCACAGACCAGCAGATATATCTAAATGTAACTATAACACAAAATTAAAATGAAAGGTAGTGTAAGATGGCAATAATAATATCACATGTACACAATCTGTTACAATATAACTAAATTAGATGAGGCCTCCTTAGTTTCACTAGTGAAACTACAAAAGAAGCTTTTTCCACAATAATTTTCTTTTTTGCTTCTCAAATTTTCAATAATTTTAGCTCCTTTTGTAAAATTATAGCCATGTGTAGGGTTTTTTTTAAATTAAACATTGTAGAAGGAGCTTTTTCACCTTAATTTTTGTTATTGCTTCATCTCCCTCTAATGATGGCTTATTTCTAAATTACTGAATGAGGATTTACATACCCTTTAATTGTTTAATTCAAAGAGCAGAACAGTAATTAGTGGATGACAGGGCTCTTTGGCTATTCATCTAACTTGATCTGCTTAGGATCAGCATTTTCTCTGACCCCATATATTCCAATTTAATCCGGAGAAGGCATATCAAAATACTTACATCATAAAGTGCAGACAGCTTGAGTGTAAAAAGATTTTTTTAAAAGTTGTGGCATGTCAGACTATTAGTCTTGGAAGCAGTTGCTGGGCTATTTTGTGGTGGTAGCCACAACCAACCCCTCTTTGATTGCTCAAGAAAGAAGAGTAATGGAGACCAATAATCACTTAATAGCACAGGTTCCCAACCTGGGGGTCACTAAGTGTTTTCTGAGGGGTCACCACAATGACTTTTAGTTGCAATTATTTTTTGCATTAAACAAGGTGAACTTGTTTTATTTTAATCCTCTCAGTCCACTGAGGCTACTTAGAGTTCTGCATCATTGTTTCTGGGCCCCTTTGGGCAGCTTTTCCTTTCATGCAGGGCATCATCCCCCTCACCCCCTTTGAGAGAGCTGCCCTCGCCCGCATCTCCCTGCTCCCCCACGTCCACCTTTGGAGGACTGACATCAGCCCTTGGGACCCGAGTGTGAGGCCAGCTCCAAGAGGCCTGAATGAGGCGAGCATGCAGCGCCTGCCAGGAACACTGAGGCCCAAAGTGCCGGCAGGATTGAAAAGGAGTTGCTGCCATGGCAGTGGCACCTTTCGCTCTGCCCGAATCTCCCATTCTTCCGGGTGCGGCAATGGCGCTGCCTGAAAGGGAGAGGGGACCCAGGCAAGGAGATGCCTCCAGGTCGCACGTGAGTCCTGGAGGAAGAAGGCAAGGGAGGCAAAAGGGAGGGGGGAGAACACTCACTGTTGCGGGGAGGCATTTGTTTGGGCTTGAGGGGGTGGGGCTCTTCGCGCAGGGGGCTTTTTCAGGTGGAGGAAATGTGAAGGGAGGACATTTTCCACACCTAAAAAGATAAAACTCAAAGAGTATCGACATGACTTTTTTTCCCCTCAAAACTTTTACCTGGTAGAGGCAGATTTACAGCTCCCCCCCAATTATGTATTATTATATTTTAATGTGTTCTCCTTAACCCATTAAAAATGCCTCTTTATGCATATTTGATGGGAGTGCTTGCAGGATACTTGGCTATTAGGAAAGGGAATCATGACTTGAAAAAGGTTGGGAAACTCTGCTTTATAGGGTACAAAGCAGACACTGGAATAGATCCAGTGATCCTACATCTTAAAATGTCCAGTCTGGCTGCTTTCCATGAAGCCAATCCCAAATAATTTTCATTTTTAATCCAGGAAGAATGTGTTATGTTCCTAATTTAAATTGGCTAGAATCCAGTGTGACAGTTGGCCTCCCTATGTAAAAGAGTGATTGATGGCGTGAACCAGCATCTTCCTCTTGTGCATTTGTCTTGCTGAGGTTTCAGAATGCCTGAATATGACCTATGAAAATTTAGCAATTGGTACATGAATTTGCTTCTTCCCATTCTTTTCTTTCTCTACCATATCATTAATATGAATTGTGAGCTTGAGGGTAGAGGTGGTGTGTTTTTAGTATTTATATGGCACTTAGTAAGATTTAGATGCTTTATAAATGATGAACAATAGCTTGTTTCCTAAGAGCTTTATTTAGCTAGTATTTCCCTGTTTCATTATTCTGGGCGGAAATAAAGCAGTAAACAAACAAGTGTCAGCAAACAGAATTACAGTGGGGTCTTGACTTGAGAAAATCCGTATTGGAAGGCGGTTCTCAAGTCAAAAAGTCTGTAGGTCAAGTCTCCATTGACCTACAGTGCATTGAAAACTGATTAATCCCGTAACAGGCCGTTTTTGTTCCATTTTGGTTTTTTTCTGGTCTGTAAGTCAATTCTCAGGCTGCAAGTCAAACCTAAATTTTGCGGCCAGAGAAGTCTGTAACTCAAAAAGTCTGTAAGTCAAGCCGTCTGTAAGTCAAGGATCCACTGTAAGAGAAAGTTTAATGTTCTCAGAAAAGTATAAGAAAAGCCCAAAACCTTCAACCTAAAAATCAAAATGGAAGAATTTGTCAGTAATAGGATGGGGGAGGAAAATATTTTCATGGCATTTTGCTCATTTGCTTTGGCTTTTTTACAGCCTTGACATTTTCTGCTGTTTCTCCTTCTGTTTGAAATGTACCTGGCTTTCAATCAGTACTATACTTAACTGTCTGGTGAAGCCACCATTTTAATTTTTAATGCCTCAAATACATAGGATGCTACGTGATCTATTTCTCATTGCTTTAATCTTCAGAGTCTTGTTACTCACCTTGACTGCTCCCAATTATACTTAACAGTGAGCATGCTAGGCTTTTAAACTTAGTTAAGTTTTGGAATTTAATATAAAATGGAACCACTGTGACTTGATCAGTAGATTTCTTGCTTATAAGTGTGGCATTTCAGATTTTTGCCCTGCTTTGGCTGCTGGAAAATCCCCTCAATCCTGCTAAAACTATTGACACAACCGTAGTAAACAAAATGAGAACACATGTTGTCCAATTGCAGTGGCAGAATATAGACACACCTCAATGTCTGTGGATCCACTTCCAGATCTTTACGCACCTGCTGTGTTATAGCCTCAGTGAGAATGGCATCTTCTCTGCCTTGTAAGTGATGCCATACACTCACTTCATCATTTCCTCTGTCCTGTCCTGTCCAAATAATGTGAGACAAACACCTCCCTGATTTGGAACAGGTCTTCACATAATTATTTGCACTCCAGATAGTGGAAAACACTGGTCCCTCGCCATGGTGTAAGAAAGTTAAAATTCCTTTAACTGAAAAAGCACTTTACTGTACAGTAATTTTTGTTCCCTGCCTTTTGCCCCACCTACTGCTAGGATGGACCACAGAACTTTTCCAAAACTGAATTAAGCACACTCACACCCATGAAATTATGCTCCCCCGATTGAATTTAAATCTTTAAAGTTACATTGGGAATACCAGGTGTATTTTTTTTCAGGTTTAAAAACTTTAAAAAGACTTCTGTATTCACCTTTCCGAACATAGAAACATTTGTTCTTGCGTGATGTGATGTGTACGTTAAGCTATAGCAGAGGAGATGGGAGTGGTACTGTTTGCGTAGTGCTGAAACAAACCAATGTGGAAATACACCTAAAGTCCAGCGGAATTCAGTGGGGCTTGTTTCTGAAGAGACGTGTATATAAATCACACTGCTCTTCTGAAACATTGGCGGTATACAAACTCTGCATTTCTCTCTCGGTAGACTCCTGCCATGGGATATTTTTACTTGCTCTCCAGGAGTAATCAATGGCTGAAGTTAATTGGAGCTGGATATACACGTCAAGATAGGGCTTAGCATTCAAAATGCCCGTGGCAGTCTGTGCTACTTTCTGTAGGCTGCCTCTCTCTCATTACCAG